CGCCACCGGTCGTTGTCGCCACCGTCCATCTCAACGTTGTCCTGAACGTCACCATTGTGATGGGCTTGGCAATCGCCGCCGCGTTCGTCGCTCATCGTATCCACTTCTGCGTCCGCGTTCTCGTGCAACAATACAAGTCGGCCGTCGCGCCGACACGACCAGCACACAAGTGGTCGTTTTGATTGTAAAATTTGAAATTCAGACGTTGTCCGTGCTTTGGGGAGAGTAAGAGGCCGTCAACAAGGAGCGAACAAGTTGGTGACATGGCACTTGTCGTCGGTATTGGAAAAGGTTTTGAGGCCTCAATGGGGTCGTTTCAATGTTGCTCGTTGCCCGCGAAATGCAGACACCCTCGAGTGCGATGAGAGCGATATCCTTGGTGATAACGCAACGCATGCAAAATGAGTCCTGTCTAGGATGTTTACAAGTGCTATTTTGAAGGGGAACACAGTACTTTCTCTCACAGCATCTTTCAGAACTCCAACAAAAGATGAGTCAACAGACGCGTCGAGTGAGCCGAAGCGTAATAGTCATCTCGTGATCTAGTTTTTTCTACTTGAGTTATACGCTGAGTATTCCCAGATCATGTTCCCGGATCATGTTCCCACATGGTTATGGATCATTACCGCGCCCAACCGCCGGTTTCATTTCGTCCCTTTTAGCCATGGCAGTCGATATGGCAACGATCGAGTCGTCGCCGGCTGCCGACAACGACGACGACGAGGATATTGCCTGCACGACGCGGACGCTGCTACAGGCATTGCGCACCGTAGCGACCACGCGACACACTGCCACCGCGCACAACGGCAAGGCCGTGCTTCAAGCGCAGCTCGACGCCATTGAGCTGCCATCGACGCCACGACCCCACGCGACGTCCCCGATGCGTCCAAGCACAAGCCCGTCCACTGCGTTGTTGGTTGTCGACTCACCGAATTCGCATTTCGTTCCCATCACGCAGCCTGCGCAGACGCCGTACTTGAGGGAGCGCAAGGCGTCACTGTGCCACATTCAGCTGCGTCAACTGGGGTCGCCCTCCAAACCGTTTCGGCCCGACAAGTTGCTGACGACCGGAGAGCCGCGGCTGCCGTCGTCCCGGGTGCTCCTCTCGCGCGAGCTCACGTCCGTCCATAAACAACGACAGCTCCACGAGCTACAAGAAAAATCATCTCAGCACGACATGACGCAGGTGGGCCTTCTTCCAATTGTTTGAGAATGCCCTCTCTTGATATGTTGATACAATATATGTGCAGGAGGTAGTGCACGAGTCGCTGCACCACCTCTCGTCCCGGACCAACGACCAAGACATGTCGCTGCACATGCGTGGTCGACGGCAGTCGGTGCACCGCCTGCGCTTTAGCGTCGCCAAGGTCGAGGAGCTCCAGCTTGCGTCGCGAACGTCGCCGCCACGGCCACCGAGCTCGACCTCGGACGTGGATTCGGCCGACGAAGACATACTGGGCGCGTCGCTCTACAGCACGGTTCGCGTTGCGCAGCAAGCGCGCCAGCTCCACAAGTGGGTCATGTGCGATGAAGAAATACAGCACAAATCGTCGAGATACGTAGACTATCAATCGCAGTCAAGCGCCGGACCGTGTCCGCGACAGCCGAGCGAGGTCGTCGACTTCCTAATGATTGACAGTCGATATCGATCGATGTATCCATCTAGAGCTCGACAGCCAGAAAGCGCCGGCGGACGTTGTGCCCAAAAGTATTGTACAAACGTACGCTCAAGTGGCCGCGTCCTTGCACCCCGGCGCGCCCCCCACAGCTCTCAAGAAGATCTCGGGGCAAGCCGTGCTCTCGAAAGACGAATTCATCAAGGTCGTGTCATCATCTTCACCGCTTTGTTTTTTATGTGAGAAATACTAGATGCTGTGCTTGACGCTCGGCTTTGATAGCCAGGAGTGGGCCGCCAAGTGCTACCCCGCGGCGTGTCAGCACCACGGCAAGAGTCAAGAGCGGTCCGTGACGTTGAGTGATTTTGCACAGCTCTGCCACATGCTCGTGCATGGCACGGACCTTGAAAAAATGAAGTGGGTCTTTTCCATTTACGACCGAGATGGTGGCGGTATGTGCGTTTCGATGATGGACACAATGTCTATAATCGCATGACGACTAGGGTCGATCGAAGTCGAGGAAGTGTTTCAGACACTGCAGTCGGACAAAGAAGACCTCTGGGATCAAATTTTATTTAGCCAGCAGCTTCTTGGGGTCGTCGACCGCAACCACGACGGGCACATGGAATTCCAGGTGCGATTGTATGCACAAGAAGACAATTTGAAAATGGCTTTTTGTGGTTTGCACTAGGAATTTTGCAGTGCGTGCAGTCGGATCCCCATGTTCTTTCACTGTTTTGCCGGTGCCCTTCCCCTTCGCCTCGCCGTGCACCCGAAGAACGTCAAGCTCAAACTAGGGTCCGCCTCTAACGTCGATGTGGTCTACTGATTGTCGCTTCGCGTAGGCTGCGCACGTTGCGCAAGCTATGGAGCTCGGGCTTGCAAGCCAGCGGTACGTATTTCAGTCGAGCGCATGGATCGACTACGGACCGACTGACTTTCGTAGCGCCGCGCTCGGATGCGAAAGCCCCCAGCGCCATTGATGTCTACGGCTTTACCGCCATCATTTCTTATTTCTTCCGCCTCGCGCGGTCGCATCCGGTGGACCACGCGCTGGCGATGCGCCTCTTTCTCGCGTTCGATGCCAACAACGACCAATTTGTGGATTTTGACGAATTCATTCAGTACAATTGTCGATGCACAAACCTTGGTTCCCGACATTTCGTCATCGTATTTTTATAGGGGCCTCTCGACGCTCATGCAAGGCGCGCCAGATGCACGTGCGCGCATGGTGCACTGGGTGCGATGACAACCTGTACACATATTTTTCTTTCGTCACCTCATATATCTAGGTGCTGGATCTCGATGGCGGCGGCACGGTCACCAAGCAAGAGGTGCACAAAACGCTCGTGTCGCGGAAACGCGGGCTCCAGCTGCACGGTAACGACCGGGATAATCCTTTTTATTGTACAATGCATAGAGGTCAAGGGGCTCGAACTCGAGAACCACGTGAATGAAATCATGCGTACCCTCGATGAGAACGGCGATGGCGACATTACTGTCGAAGGTCCCGTTTCTTATTTTTTCATATTTGATGTTTCTTAAAACGGTGCAATAATCGAGCGTAGAGTTTCAACGCGCCGTCCGCAAGTCCCCGCGCATGCTCGAGGCGCTTCAGGACATTCTTTTTAGCGGCTGCCGTCTCGACGCCGAGTTTCAAGCTGCCGAGTGGAAGGCGTACACAGCATTTATGTTGAATAGGTTGATGATTGGAATGAACCGTAGGCACTGCGAAGCGTCGTTGATTCCGCCACTCGTGGCCGCCCACCCCGCGCGCGGGCTGCGGAAATTTCGAAAAGTGCTTCAAAAAGCCGTCCGCACAGTCGCGAGTGTCAATGCGGTACGTGGATTCTCGACGACAATCTGTACAAAAAATGCCAACAATGTCTAGTGGCGCCTCGTCCCGCGAGCGAAAAGCAATTCGATCCTGCGCACCAATAATAATAATGCACCGAGTGGCCCGAGTCTCGACGCTCTCCAAAATCCTCCCAAACGAAAAGCCGGATCGCCCCCCGGTAAACCTCGAGCAATAGGATATCTCTTTCAAAACTCGGATCCTCACTGCAATAAATCCCACATGTTTCAAGTGCCCAGGGTGAATGTGATTTCTCTATTTTTATTCATCACCCTTGCAAGTGCTGAAATCACTATAGACCTTGAGGTGTGTGGGCGCGAATCTATCATGCATTTTATGCGTCAGAAAGCATGGACGCGACGTGCATCATTTCGTGGCCAAATTTGGTGAATGCGCGGTCGTCGTCGCCGGCAAAGCGACCAAGTCGCAGAAGTCGCCACGTCTTGACATCCAGCACATCAAAGACGTCGCCGGCGCGGACACGAAGAAGCTTCATTGGGACGCCGCTCGATGGGATCGGTCGTGCGTCGACTCTCTACGTCGACTCTCCAAGATTTCTTCAGAGTCGGCTTTTCCGCAACGCAGGAGAACTCACCTGGCACCTTATTCGCACGCTTATAGTTCCTTCTCGCTAGCCTCTATAGTTCAGGGGTTTATATTAGTTGGTATGTATCGATGCCGTTGTGTAGGTGTAGGCCGAGCTAGCGAGGGAAGTGGAGTGAAGTGTACGGCTTCATCACTTTTTTTTAATATTGAAATATCCCATCACGAGATCTGCGTACGGCGGCATCCGGTGGCGACGCTTCTCGCCCACTGCCGCCACACCCAGTGGCCGAATACTGCTCGTGTCCAGGGCGTCCTCGAGCAATGAAATGCATGTAGCCGTCGTACAGTAGGCTATTCACACGCCACTTTACCCCGCCCACGTCCAAACTTTGGTGCGTGGCGCAACTATTGTGTGGCGTGCATTTAGCCTGGGAGAGGTCGCCCACTATCCGGATACGGTCATTTTCGTTTTGAGCAACAATCGCACGCGTCATGCGCTGGGCCGTGCTCTTCCTCTCGCTGCTCGCGCTGGCCTATGGCCTCAAGCAAGACTGGGTCTTTGCGGACGAGACGCGCCGCCAGTTCCTCATCGAGCGCTTCGCCTTTGACGCTGACGGCCAGCTCGAGGCCGAGCTCCACGTCGCGCCAGCCTCGCAGCTCGCACGCACCAGCATCCTCTTTGTCCATGTACGTACTGCCGCCGCCGCCGTCTCGCCCTGCACCGCCCATGCGATATACATATGTCTGTAGGAAGACGACCTCATGGAGGACGCAGCCGCCTACTTTCAGCGGCCTTACGACGCGGTCGTGTGCATCTTGGACGCGCAGCCGGCGACGACGCGCATGGACTTTGACGACGAGAAGACGTGGCACATTGCGCACCCGATCGAGCGCGAAGGGTTCTACTACGTGCTTTTCGCTCACTGCGGCGCGCCAGACGCGGAGGTGTCCTTCTCGGTACGCTCGTCATCCTCATCATCCTTTCGCCATAAGAGGATATTGACAATGGCGGCATCGCTGCAGATGCGCGCCGTGTTCAAGAACCCGGACGGCAACTACCTCTCGGCCGGCGACGCGTCCGTGCCGCTCATCTACCTCCTCATGAGCATCGTGTTTCTCACCGCGGGCTTGCACTGGGCGCGCGTCCTGCACGCCAACATGGCCCATGTACCGTCTTTTGCCGATCGGTCTCCTTCAAACGTTGCGCCTGCTAGATCCACCACATCCACTACATGATGGCCGTCCTCGTCAGCGTCAAGGTAGACACTATTGTCCATTTTCCAAAAGTACACAAATCATGCGGTGTAGACGCTGTCGCTGTTTGCCGAGTCGATGCGGTTCTACTACATGAAGGCCCACGGCGACACGATGACGTCCTGGAACGAGATCTACTACGTCTTTATGTTCCTCAAGGGCATCATGCTCTTCGTCGTGATCCTCCTCATTGGCACGGGCTGGTCGCTCCTCAAGCCGCACTTGAATCCGTCGGAGAAGCAGATCATCTTTGTCGTCCTCCTCCTCCAAGTACATTGCCATTCTAGTCGTCGAGGATTTAACTCCGGATGTTACATGTAGGTGCTCAACAACATCGCGGTCGTCGTGCTTCAGGAAAGTTCGATTGGGACGCAGGCGTGGGTCGGCTGGATATCCTTTTTTCCAATGCTTTTGTGCGTTTTATGCTGCTTTTTTACGGGCTCGAACCCTTGACCAACAATGAGGTACCGCGACGTGATGCACCTGGTGGACATTGTGTGCTGCTGCGCGATCCTCTTTCCGATCGTGTCGAGCATCCGCCATTTGCGCCAAACGGCCGAGACGGACGGCAAAGGTATGGATGGCATGGATTGATAGCTTGATACTTTTATGGATTTTTGTAGCCCACATCAACTTGCAAAAGCTGACGCAGTTTCGCAGCTTTTACATTGCGGTCGTCGCGTACGTGTACTTTACGCGCATCGCACTCTACTTGCTCGCCGCGTCCTTGCCCTTCAACGCCGTAAGCCAGCGTCGGACGGGACCATATCTCACGGAATCTGACGTAGACGTGGATCTCGGTGCTCGTGGGCGAACTTGCGGCGCTCGCGTTCTACGCTGTCACGGGGTACGCCGACGGTTCTGAAATCCTTTCAACGTATCAACTCTCAAACCGCGTAGATGGAAGTTTCAGCCGCAGTCGCAAAACCCGTATTTGGCGCTCCAGACCAACGCTCCGCTGGTAGGCCGCCACTGGATAAAAGATTCACCGGAGGAACCTGTCCTGTAGGACGAGTTTGGCCTTGATGACGACGACGACGACTTTGGCTTTGGCCCGGCCAAGGCCTAGTGCGCCTAGAACCACACCGCATCATTCTCGTCGACTCGAGTCTTCTACAACATTGCACAAATACCTGTGTCCCATACTATTTCTCGTGCTCGTCTCGGCCTCCATGCGTCTTGCTGCCTCGGATGCTACAAGATCAGGTGCATAGGGCTCTTGTCGGCGGTGCTCTCTCGACATGCCCTCGTTGTTCCAGTACACTTGTTGTCATCGCTCTTGGGTGCGCGGGCAGTTTGTTCAACGCGCCGGACTGGACCAGGGATTCGAGAAGAGCCGCGGGCCTGCTACGGTTGCGGGCGAGAGTGGACGAGGATATGGACGGACAGACAAGTTGTTAAAGGTTAGTCGAGTTCTAGCATGCGACTAGTTGGTTTAGTGGGCCTTGCGCTTCTTGTCGGCTTCCTCAAAGTAGGCCTTGGAGTCCTTGGGGTTAGCGACCATCGTGTCGGCACCGGGCGTCCAGCCGGCGGGGCAGACTTCGCCGTGCTCGTCCGTGTACTGGAAAGCCTGGACGAGGCGGAGGATCTCATCGACGTTGCGACCGACGGGGAGGTCGTTGATCGTGATCTGGCGGAGCGTGCCCTTGTCGTCAATGATAAAGAGGCCGCGGAACGGGACGCCCTCGTCCTCGCCGTCTTCGATGAGGACGCCATAGTCGCGCGCAATCTTCTTGGTGACGTCCGAGATGACCGGGATCGCCATGTGGCCGAGGCCGCCCTGGTTGCGGGGCTGGTTGATCCACGCCAAGTGCGAGAACTTGGAGTCGCACGAGGCCGCGAGCACGACCGTGTTGAGCGCCTCGAACTCCTTGACGCGGTCCGAGAACGCAATGATCTCGGTCGGGCACACGAAGGTAAAGTCGAGCGGGTAGAAGAAGAGCACGACGTACTTGCCCTTGAAGTCCGAGAGCGAGACGTCCTCGAACTCGCCGTTGACGACCGCGGGCGCGGTGAAGGCGGGGGCAGGCTTGCGGATGATGGCGACCATGTTGGGGTTGAAAAGCAAAAGGCAAAGTGAGCTGGCCTGTCTAGCGGCCGGGAGCGTTTCGACTTTTGGCCAATGAAACGTCGCGGCCATCGCGGCAATCCGCATCGTTTTTATTATTACAGTGTGTTTGTATGGAAACGTATTGAATCCCACGGACGGGGAAAAGACAGCCGCTGTATTTTAGCCAATGGCATCGCGTTGGAATCCGACGGTGGATACACCAACGGTGCTTGGAAGGCTCGTGAAGGCGACCTGAAGCTTCGCGATCGGCCGCTTGACTCGTTGCCGTGTGACGTGACCGACGACGTAGCACGATCGCGCCAGGCTCCCTCGACGTTGCAGCGCCTCTGCGCGAGGACGGCGTCAACTGTAGCGCCAAGTGCGCCGAGCCCACAAGGCTGGGCTGCCTACCGACCAAAAAGGCCAGAGACTAGCCTTTCGATCGTAGTATATGCGAGCTAGAAGAGGACCAAGCGCAAGCCCACCAAGGTGGCAAGATGCCCTGACCTCGGATCCGCGGATTCCTCCACGTGGCGCGACGATGTGATTGGCTCTTTCTGATGGTAGCCATCATGTGATTGGGCCACGAGTAGCCAGGCGGTCTTGGTCGTTCAAGATCGCGAACCTTCGACGCGTTCGCGAACGATCCGGCCGCGCTGTCTTTGCGCCTGCCATCGTTGGAAGAAGATAATCCAACTCGAAGTTCCACGACACTGCGTGCCACCAAGACTCATCCGGACTCGCGGCGGCATGATAGCCGGTAGTTCCAGCAGCAGGCATGCACGCGTCGAGATATGGTCGCGGTCAACGCGTGCTGTGGGCCTTGACCTTGCCTTCTTGCAACGTGCACCGCCTGCGCCAGGGAGGTAGTAGGCTGCATTGCGCGCACTTGAAACACGCAGAGTCTCGAGGCGCGCTCGTACATATGTCCATCTTCAATGTCGGACATGACGGATGCAAACGCAATGCGATTGTATTGACGCTAAAAGGAGTCTCGGAGACGCGACTTGTCGCCGCCGAGGAGCAAGTGGGGCATGATTTCCTTTGCTTGGCGAGCTGGAGCGTTCGGATCTCGCGACAGACCTCGCCGACCTAGTGGAAGCGTAGGTACATATATGCAGCCATCTTGATTGACGAACGAACCTCGACTTTGTGTTCCAGGTCAAAGTCGAACGCGCTAAAGATGAGGTTGATGTCGGCGGTCGAAAACTTGAGCTGCTGGAGCGCGATCGTAAATTGCTTGCGGTCCAGCCACAGGAGTGGCAGCGTCTCCGCGTCAAAGCCCGCATCGTACGACGATTTGTGCGATTGCAGCAGCGTGCGGCGGCCGCGATGGTCCGTCGCCGCCGACTGCACGAGCCTATTTGTGTCGTACACCCTTCCATCTCCTCAACAAATACGAGCCGAGTACTTCATATAGTCGTCAAGGTCGAGCGTCTCGTAGAGTTGCCGGAGGTGCCCCGGCACGTTGGCATACGCCTGGTTGCGCAAGCAGTTGAAGATGAATTCGATCGAGCGGTGCACGATCGTCTTGTTTCTAAACGACACCTCTGTCGTGTGGCTGAAAATGGACAGATATGTACCGTCCAAGGGCCGCGTTCTTGAGGCCCACGACGCTGCGCCGCTTCTCCCGTTCGAGTTGCAGCTTCTCCGAGTATTCTTCGACCTAGAACAGACAAGTTGAACACAAAAGACGGAGGATTTCGTACCGTGTTGCGCTCGGCCGTGTCCATGCAGTAGACAGTCGCCGACCGCAGAAACGAGAGCCGCGCGGTTTTGGGTCTACAGGACGTGATTGCGTCATACTAGTATCTCTCGAGTACCGGATTTTGGCGCCGGCGACCGTCACCATGGGCGATGTCTTTTGCACCGCGTGGAGCGCCGACTTTGGTCGGTGCTTTCGCTTCTCCAGCGTCGACGAGACGTTCGAGTGCAGCGTCTCGAGCCCGAGGCGGCACGCCCGGCCCGGTCTACATACACAAGGACAATATCGTCCATCGTTCCGCACACGATGGACATTCCTGTCCTCTACACAAAAACGCACTTTGCAATGGGCAAAGTGTACATCTGGCCCGGGTTCTTGTGTGCGTTCTGCGCGGCTTCCAGGTTCAGGTAGACGCGCTCTATCCAAAACAAACGAGGGATTAGAGTGGTGCGATGCTGTTTAGTCCACGGACCTGCGTCTTGGGCGTGCTGCAGAAAACTCTGGGTCGTCTGCACCGGCAGCGTATATGGCTGCACACCCGCGAACGCTTCCGGCTGTCGAAGCGGAATCGCATTGATGGGCAGCGACGGCTCCAGCCTTGGCCCTTGGTTGGACACCAGATCGTCCTGAAAGAGATGGGTCTTGGGCGGCGACGCGGGCGGGACCCACGATGGCTTCTTCTCCGCGCCCTCTTCATGCGGCTCCTCTGTCCAGAAGGATATATCTATGGTCGTCGCTGTAGCAAGACGACATACCAAGCCACGCCCGGGGGAGGTCGGTGTTGTGATGGCCGACGTTCGGGCGGCCTTCGATGCGCTTCGTCCACTCTCTGGGATCGGCGAGCTCGGCAGCCACCTCCATCGCCTGCGATGCTTCCGTCGTATCGGGCCCTTTTCGCAATATCGTACCTTGGGCGGCGGATACGCCAGGAGCAGCGACTTGAACTCGTCCGTGAGGCCATGCACCGCGAGCACTTGGCGGGCGCCATCGCTCGGTGCCAGGAGCCCATCCGTGCCAGCACCCGCAAGCTTGAAACTACAACGCCTTTTGCGTCCCACCGCCGCCACATTGCTTTGTAAACGTACGATGACGCCGAGTTGTTGTGGCCGAGGCGCCACCCAGCAGGGTGCATCGCTCGAGTACCATCGTCGGCGCCATGCTTGTGGTTGTTGTTCATCAACTTGCGCGGCGATGGCACGGTGGAATAGAGGTCGTGCACAACACCCACCGCCGACATCAAGGGTCGTCCCTATCGCATGTTGATCGCTTGACAATCCTCGCGGGTTGCGATACCCCGATGGGTTGCGGACTCGGCGGGGGTGCCTGTGACGACTGGCGGCGGCGGCGCGTCGCTGTTTTGGGGCACTGCGCCGCCGACCCGACGTTGTAGAGAGCCGCTTTGCGGCGGATCTCGGCCACATTGACAGGCGGCTTGTGCTTGCGCCGATGGGTCGTCGGCTACGCTCGTCGCATGACAAGGACATTCGTTGGCGTAATCGACGTACCCGCGCCGACACGGGGTCGACCATCGGCGAGGCGAGTCGTCGACCATTCATAGCTCTATCGGATGATAACCCTCCGTCGGACGACGCCAGCCAAAAACCCCGTATTTAGACTCGGCCAAAAACCGTATTTAGATGTAGTTTTAGTCGGTTCGAGTGCTCGGTATTCAAATGTTGGCGTTGGAACCAACGGAGCAACATACCAATGCGGGTGTACGCTACGTCGGAATGCATCAAAGTTAACGCTTGGTCGTTGGGCGTGCACTGCGCAGACCGGACAGATCCATCCTGTTCTTGGACCCAAACACCGAGTCCGAGCGATGCACCAGTAGCGTCTTCTTCCGTTCTGTCCTCTCTATCCAGGATAGAGATGGATCGATGCTGGCATCGTCGACAGCACACGTATTGGATTACTCGAACTTGCAACATTGCAGGGCTGCTTCAATTTATTGATTCCGCACGCACCAAGAGACAGAGAGTGTCGTCGCGCAATCTGATCTGGCGTCGAGACCGTTCACCTGCCGCGAGCGCACCCTTTGGGTGGCGGCTCGCAGCAACTGCTACAGTCTATCACTCACAACTGCAACGAGGGCACGACAAAAAAGAGATTTGATCCGGTCGTCGAGACTCGGCGCAAAAAAGATGCGTGGCCGTCAACTGCGGCAACCGCACGACCGGCCATGGGTGCGCGACAGCTGTGACCATACGACAGATGTTGTTGCCCTCTGCACCGCCAGATTGCATCAAACTTGGTGGCACCATCATCATAATACTATGCATGGTAGGCCCCATCACGACACCTCACGGGCGCGCTGTCTTGGATGCCAGCAGCACCTCGTTGAGGTCGATCCAGGAATGTAGCGACGAGTAGCAAGGACAGGCGTGGCGCTCCGAGCCGCACGGACCACGGCGGATGACGACGAGAGCTCGAAGAGACAGCGAAGACGTGACAGCAACGCTCTGGAAAGGCGGCTGGATCGACACAGCTGATCCTTGATCTTGGGTGCCTCGTCCAGTTGTGACTAACTGCGCCTTCGTCGTCGGTGTAGACGCATCTAATGGCATCCCACGAAACAGCCGCCCGGCTAGCTCGATGGCCCAGCGCCGCCGTTCGCCCAGTACCGCTCTCAACAGGAGCGAGCCCAGGACATCGGGTCCACGGCTGCACCACATCGGATGCTGGGTGGCGACTCGAATTGAAGCGCACGGGTTGCAGCTTAGACACGAAACAGATGGCTCAACGTCACTGCGGTCCGTCGCCCCCTCGCCACGAACGAGGAGGCCACATCCCCTCTTTTTGAAAGGGCAATGTCGTGCGTCAAGGGCAATAATATCGTCTGCTCTATTGATTGGATTCGACAAGCGAGCTCTCGGCGAGGAGACGAGGATGCACCGGTCGCCAAAGCCACGCCGACGCGTCCCACGGTGTGAACCATACGGTGGGCAGCGTGTGAGTTTGCACTTGAGTCTTCGCCATTCTTCAATTTGCCCTTTCCAACGCACTTCCTCCTTACGATACTATGGGCCGACGACACAAGTCGATGCAAGGGTACCAGCAGTACATCGAGTATCAGCGGGAGTATTACCGCAAGCACCGGGCGACGCGCCTCGCCAAGCAGCGCGAGTACGACCGGAAGCGGCGCCACGGCTCGACGCACAAGTTGACCAAGTCAAAGGACGGGATCCCGCTCTCGCCAACGAGCTCGGAAGCGTCGTCGACGACGGCAACCGAATCGGCGCGCCCCGTCAACAAGCTCTCGCTGCTGTACATCCTAGTGTAGCCGTCGCCCTCGTCGTCGTCGTCTCTCGTGTCCCATCGTCATCGTTCGTACTACTTACTCCATGTCCTCCAGATTCGTTATCAGCCCATAGTATAATACCCCGTGTGTAAAGAGCATATTCCTCTAAAAAGTTAATCGCACAGTCGCGTCGTACCATTTCTTTCAGCTTTTATTTCTCTCAATCCCAATATGGTTGAAAGCCTGAGCAGCATCCTACTAGTAGTGGGTAGCTGCGCAGGTGTCGACTTGTCGCCCACGGGCACAGCTGCCTCGCTAAACGTGCAGCTGGAGACGCAGCGACGACCAGATTGCGCCCATCCAGGATGCGCTGGCGTACCCATGAGCGCACAGCTTTGTCCTCGATCACGGCCGCCTGTAGTACCGTCGTGGGTTTGCGAAAGGAGGTGATGCCAAGAGACGCCTGTCGGTGTGTGAGTGACCATTAGCCCGCACGAGGTCTACGTGGGTCACCTTCCCGCGAATAAAAAATGGTTTGAGAGGAGCCACGCAGCTTCAACCCACGGTGTATAACGAGGGGACCTGGTCCGAACGGGTGGTACATCCCACAAGAAGGGCATGTCCTTGCCACTGATTCACAAAGCCAAGTCGCGTTGACGGTATGGTGCATGGGCACGTGCATGGCGACGGAATCTTATCTGATGACTCTACTGTGGTCGACGCCCTATTTCAACCACTTGACCAGAGTATGCGAATTATATATACCCAATAAGAAGCTACACTTGTTGCATCGATAACCAGATCCAGCAATACATTGTGCTACCAGATACAGTAGCGCCTCGCTTTAGGCTTTTGCGGGTCCAACACGCGTCGGCGTTGTTGTTGTTGTTGAAGTGGGTCGTCTATAAAACTGCGTTACTAGTAGATAAAATTGACCGACTCTCTTCGTTGTGTGCACTCGGTTGCGGAAATTGATCTAGGCAGGCGGAGGCAGGAGCGCGATCCGCGGGACGAGGTGACGTCGCGGCCACTCGTGTTGGGCGAGGAGCCGAAGGAGCCGACAAAGAGCAGGCTGCTCGGGCTCTTGTACGAGGCTGTGGTGCAAGTGCAGTTGAGCGACCTGCGCCACCTTGACGGCAATCGTCCATGGACTTGGCAGCGGTAGGTCGGCGCGAAAGACGCGATCGTTCCGGGCTCGCCAGACGTTGAACCAGACGCAGGCGCGGAGCACGGGCCAGAGGTAGCAGAACACGGACACGTCGGCGTTGTAGTCCGTCGTCGTTCAAAGTTGATAAATCGATTTGATTTTTCAGTAAAGTTAATTCGCGGTGCGTGATTGGTGGCTTTAATAGCCAATCCGGTATCCGATATATTATTAAATGCACCGTTTCCTTACAAACAGTACGCTATTTCTAATCCCTGCCAACGAAAACCAATACAGAAATACGATTGGACAAAAAGTGACGAATCCCACGCGGCCTAGGATCGCATCGATGGACCATACAAATCGCAAGTCTCGATACAACATGAACAAAAATTCGGATTTCGCCAGACCGGCGCCGATGGCCGAGCCCCATGCAGCAAGCACGAGCGTGCTCACGGACGCGAGCCTCCTCCGCAGCATCTGCGCGTACCAGCATGGCTTCTTCGCCGAGCTGCTTCCGCGGCTTGAGGAATCGCGGGCCATGACGACGACCAACGTCGGCGGGTTCCTGCAGTACGAGCTGCCACCGCGCTACGCCCTGCTCCTCGGCGACGACAGTCTTGCCGTCTACGGCAGCTTTACACTCTACCTCCATCCGTTTGAGCGCGATGCGCGGTTCCCGCTGCACCTGGCGATCTTGGAGGGCCAGCTCCACGTCGTGGCGCGGTTCCTCGATTGCCGAGGCCGCGCGTGGCTGTCGGCCGACGCCTTCTACCTTGCCGTGCAGCGAGGCCACGAGGTCATTGTGCGCTACCTCTGCGAGAGGCGTCTGTGTCCGTCCACGGACGGCCCATGGCGCGATGCGATCACGCTCGCAACCCGGCACAAGCGCGCGCGCGTGCTCTCGCTCTTGGAGGCGGCACAGGAGAACGACGCCAAGCGGCGCCACGTCACCAAGTAGCACGCACTCGCATCCCAAACGACATTGTACCCTGGAGCGTACTTTACTATTAAAGGTTGCCTATATAAGTGACAAGGTGCCGGCTACTAGGACGCGACAGGCGCCATGGCTTCCTCCTTGACACACGAGAGATCAGAGTTGGTTGCTGTCGCGGCTTCCTTTGGCTGCAAATACTGCTTGGTGGTCTCGTGCACACAGAGCGTCGACTGTTCGTGCATGGGGCAAAACGGGTAGTGGCGCTTTGCCTCGGACGCGCACGTTGGGACGAGGCACTTGATCCAGCCCGTGTGGTGGTACCGGATCCGCGAGATCGCGCTCCATCGGGCGTCCGGGCGGCGGCTCTTGGCTGTCGCTTGTGGCTGGGCGGTCGCAATCGGCGACGCGGAGGCGTCCGAGGACGTGGTCGCAGGCGAGTCGAGGCTCGGCCTCGCGCTGCGCAGCGCCTGCACGTCGCGCGCGTGGTAGAGGCACATGCCGTTGTGCTTGCCGTACCGGCGGCAATGGTCGCGCTGGCACCACGCAGGCATCTGTGTAGCGGTCTCGGAAATGGAAAATGAACATTTTGAAGCGCCGCCCGTTTTCCTCGCGTTGGTCGTTTCGACGCAAATAGACGTTTAGCGTTGAAGTCGTTCTACCTATATTGCGATGGAATACTAATCGTTGATTACGAGTCTTCTTAATCTTCGTTCAAACAAAAGCTCGAGAAGCACCGCCTTCGGATGCTCTGCATGGAAGCAAAGATGATGCGCGTCCAGCTCTCTCTCGCTCTCTCTCACGCTCTCTCGAAAGACTTGGCCCACTACCTGCAGTAGTTTCAAGAAGCGGACTCAAGAGGCTGCTGCTATGTGAAACAGTAGTTTCAAGAAGCGTTCTCAAGAGGCTGCTGCAATGCGAAACGAGCCCTTGCCGGTCAAAACGGCTCGATGATGCCCCGTCATCCCAGATGCCTAGCGTGAGTACCACCGAGGACGAGCTTCTTAACGCCTTGCGGCACGGAAGGGGTGCGAAGCGGCGAACCTGCACAGGTTAGCTGTCGCGACTCTGAAGAAGGTGCACGACGCTTGGCCGAGATTTAAATGACGTGGCGCGATACGAGCGGTGTGTCAGCCGTTTCCATCTACCCTGGTGAGCGTCGACATTGGATGCGTCCATGGGTAAGGTCGTGGCCAGCATGCTTGCATGCGGCGGCCTCGGAAAGGCCCGCACCGCGCGGGCGTACGAGGTGGAGCGCTATATCTGCTTGTGATTGTGTGGTGGATACAGCCCTGCACGTGCGTGGCAGACGGGAGAGCGATGGCGACCGAACGCGACGCCAAAAAGATGAAGTACAAGCTTGTTAATGGAAGCAACCATCGACGGCGTCGGCGATCCTTCTCGATGTAAATGTCGCTTACGCCTTGTGGGTTTCCTTGCGGGCCACGGGCACCTTGAGCACAACCTTTGTGACATGGCCGGTCATCAGCTGCAAGACGCTGTCCTTGTTGCGCATGTATTCATTGCTACGCCCATGCATCGTCAGTCCGTCGCCCCAACAATGGAACGACGCCTTCGTACCGCATCTTCTGAATGTCCTGCTCCGTTTCCTGGTCCATAATGCTCGAGTCGTCGCCCAAAAGCTACAAGGAGCGCGTGAGCGGCGCCATGGCCGCATATAGCACATACGTCGGTCGAGTTCATCTGGAAGGCCTGGTCCTGCTGGAGGCGGTAGGCCGCGATCTCGGCCTCGGCCTCGACCTTAGCCTGCTTGAGACGCTCGCCACGCTCTAGACACGGCCGCCATGATGAGCCCATGCTCGCGCCGCATGGAGGCAGACGACGTACCTTGGCGGGCCTCGCTGATGATCTTGGAGGCCTTCGTCTCGGCCGCCATGAGCTCCTTGATGCTTTGATTCGCCGCCATGCTGGTCGTCGGGACTGACTTTGGGAAAATGGCCTCACAAATCGCCATCCGGAAAAGGACCGGCTTTTTAGCCAATCGCTGGCGACGCCTGCGGAATAAAAAAGAGCCACCCGAAGCATTCTGCCTTGTTTATTTTAAAGCTTGTACTTTGTAAGCAATACTTGAAGCTACGGTTTCCGTTCAATAAAAATGCAAAAAAGTTGTGCGTCGTGAAAAATCTGCGCCGTGCGTGTTGAAGTGGCAAGCGATCGAAATCGACTAACTAAACGACTAAACCAGCGATGGACTCTCTCGCGAGCAAGAAGAGGAAGAAGGCGACTAGTGTGTCGTACCAGCAACACCGTGAGCGTCCGGCGATACTGCGAGCGAACGAATAACCCTTTAAGAATTTGCAGCAACAGCTACTGTAGTACAAGGAACGAAACGTAGTCGATAACAGAAACTAACTAGAAAAGGACCATCGTCGTCGCCTTCGAGAGTAGTACGAGCAGATAGTTTCGTCTCCAGCGCCCTGCGTGGTAGCGCCAATTGAGGCCGATGAGCTCGACCCAGGGCCGACCACGGCAAAATTTACTGGCGAAATCGAATTGATCAAATCATGTTCTCCATCTACTGTACTACTAGTACACGACTAACTCGCACTGCGAGAAGCGCGGCGTCACGTCGCTATCGCTCGAACGTCTTGAACGACACCACGTCGACCGGTCGTCACATGCGCACGAGGGGTCGCGGGGACGATATGTGCAACGCGCGAGGGGTCGCGGGGACAATAACAAGTGATCGACCACCTTACTCTTTATGCCCAGTCGGCGGATGCCTGCATCACTGCGTTCGGGCCCCTGTATAGGTGCTGTCCCTTTCTTCACTTTCCCATTGGCGTTGGCATCGGAACCATCAAGTCGGTTCTTGAGAGACCTCCTACAACAACAACCAAAGCGAGGTGACAGTGGAGGTTGCCGGTCCACCAGCACATGGACGCAAATGACCACCTCAATGTCAATCCCACACGGTGTCGTCACCTGCACTGTTATCGCGCCGCCTTCTGGCCGCCGTCATCAGTACGTCGTGCGGACGCGCGCCATGTTAGTACACGGGTCAACCTCTTACATGTCGACGATGAACCCTCGTGTGCTTGTCGAGAAGGCGCTGGTGCGCTAATTGCAGAGCGATCTTTCGTAGCCGCCATCGCTTGTCCCACCAATGTAGCGTACTATACGTCTCGCTCGGACTGCATTGCTCTGCAAACGCTTCGTGCTCAGTATATGGCAAGGAGCGATAGCGAGGTGTCCGCACAAGATGGATGGTTTGGTGCTGCTCGTCGTTGCAACTTGTTACGGCGGCGGTCGGCTTGGTCCGTCTTGTATAGCCGCGTGGCTGAGGTAACCTGCCGCATCAATCACGGCGGCGAGGAGAGATAGCAAGCCGCAGAGCGTACAGTGCGGCGTCTTGTCGTCCTGCTCGAGGAGCTTTTGCTCGTGGCGCATAAGACCGCATCCTACTACCTGCATCGGACGATTGACATGCGAAGGCAAACCGGGCTGTCCACCGGCTGGTAGGTAGAAGAAGAAGAAGAAGAACACGCTTGGCTACTTGAATGCAGTCGGGGCGCCGACCACCACTCGCTCCACCCAAAGAGTCTAGCTGCTGCAGTTGCTACAGTAGTTCAAAGACGGCGCTCGGTCATCCACCGACGCCGTGGCCACGGCTGTCCTTTCTGCCAAGCGCCATCGCAGGTGTGGAAACCGACCCAATCAAATGCGTCGCGAGGGCGAAATATAGCCAATCATCGTCGTGCATGGATGTAGCGTCGGTCCTCGCCGTGACTCGTACGAGGTATGAGGTCGAAGAGGGCGTGGATCGAGCGACTGACCTTGGTGCAAAGGCAGCAGGCAGCGCGCCGAGGGTCGTGGCAGCTTGTTTGCAGCGCCGCTCCGATTGAATCTTTGGCCAGGCAGCCAATCCGAATGGTGGACGCTGCGCATTTTGGCCAATCAAAGCGCGATCCTCGAAGACCGTAGTTTTTATTGCCGTTTCCCATTTGGCTCGACACCAAGCAGGCGACGACGACGACGACAAGACGCATGGCCTACAACCCCACGTACCGTGCATGAGGCGTCGTCCTCTTCCTCCCCGCGCATGGACCCACGTGCTCCTCTGCGTAGTGGATCGCGCTTCGGGGCCTACGCCCAAGGTACGCCGCCGATGAGTGGCACCGAGCGACCGCTGCCGTAGACCCGCGCTACCCGCCACTCCAGCCGACCGCCATGGCCGACCGGTACGCCACTCGCAGCCGTGAGCTATTGCGCATCAGGCGTCGCCTAGGTCCGTGACAACATCGCCGCCGACAGCCGCCGCCGGTACACCTCGTCCACTCCATGCACGTGACCATCAATCGATAATATATCGACACAGGCGGCGGCGGCAATACGTCGCAATGGGCGTCGCCACCTCCAGGTAGATGCAATGCCTACCTACTATGTGCGTTGAACCTCGAGTGTCCAGTCGCCCGCCCGAGCCCCAAGACGTCGCCGCTCGTCAATAGCGAGCTCACCTCGACGGCCGCGCCGTTCGTGCCCAAGCAGCACGCAGCGCCCGAGCCCATGGTGCAGGTTCCCGCGACCACGCTTCCACGTCCGTCCATGCGAGCCATATTCGGTGTAGGTCACGCGGGGTGGCTGCATCTTTTACGTGCCCGAGTCCGAAGCCAAAGCGACGCCGACGAACGCTGTCTTGCGGCACGGGCCCGGCGCGCAGCTCCACGTCGACATTCAGCCGCCGTACGCTGCGTCTGCGTCTGTCATCCCCTCTTCGTACGATCTACCTTGTTGTCGCACTCTGCAGCGACTCCACGCATTAGACCGATTGTGACAACGCGCCGGTCGCTGGCGTCCATGGCACTGGCGCCGACCGTCCGGCGTCAGCTGGATGCTGAGCACGAAGATATGCTGCGGCAGGTGCATCCGTCCGACGAGCGCTACAAGGAGATTCCGTCGCAGTTCCATTGCATGTGGCCGCTCGACGTTCAAGACGATGCGTTGCATCGCAACGTGGCCGGCAGCTTTGGGTATCCCTCGCACTGCTACAAGGTAATCCCATTTTCCATCCGAAATCGTCTTTTTTACGACATTTTATAACCTTGAAACTTTGAAATTAGGTGATTAGCGAGACGGACGGGCGCACGTATGCTCTGCGCCGCGTCGAGAACGTGCGCACGACGCCAGGGATCACGCAGCAAGCAGTCGACAAGTGGAAGAAGGTGGTTCACGCCAACGTCGTGCCCTCCACCGCGCGTTCGTGTCCCATGGCGGTACCTCCTCTCGACGGAAATGACGACGTGTCATCGTCGCGAGTAGCGCTCTTCTTTCTCTCCGAGTACTTCCCGACGGCCACGTCATTGCACGCCAAGTTCTTTACCAGCCAAGCATCGATCGCGTCCGAGGCGTTCCTCTGGAGTCTGCTGACACAAATGGCCGGCGCGCTCCGGGCCATCCATCGCCACGACATGGCCTGTCAAGCCATCGGACTCCGACGGCTCCTCGTCACGGGTATCGCTGCGATCTCCAAATGTCTTTTCATGGCGAGCGCTGCGTAGGGCACAACCGTGTGCGCATCAGTGGCACGGGTGTCCTCGACGTCCTCGAGTACGACACGTCGAAATCCAAGCGTGTGGAGGCGCTTCAGGTACACGCTCTTTTTCTGATCGACAGAGCTCGATGGGACGGCGTAGCAAGAGGACTTGATTAACCTCGGCAAGGTCGTGCTCAGCCTTGGTGTCCGTCAAGAGATTTCCGCCACCACCAATGGTACGTCGATGCGGCCTCTGCCTGGTCTGATGTTGGCGCGGCTAGTGACGGACCTCCTTTCGCAGTTTGCGAGCACCTTCTCGGACGACCTCACCGCCGTCGTCCGTGGTCTCACTCTCCAAGAGACGGCCTCGGTATGTGTCCTCTCTGCTGGATCGCCACGTATAGAGCGACGATGCTAGGCGACCGAGTTGGCGTTGACGCTCTTTGACCGCACCCAAGCCGAGCTCGACGCGCAGTACAGGTACACCACCTTGTGTGTTTGTCATCGCCTTAGAGGCGGGTGTAGTCTGGCCGATGAGCTCGAAGCGCAGTTGTCGTCCGAGTACCAGAACGGCCGCATGTTGCTGTTGATGCTCAAGCTGGGTCTCATCAACGAACGCCCTGATGTAGTCATCTGGATCATTTTGCGGCTGCTAACGACAATGTTTTAGCTCAACATGGACAGCAGCTGGGCCGAGACGGGCGACCGCTACCTCCTCAAGCTCTTCCGCGACTTCGTGTTCCACCAGGTTCTCACTGCATGCATGGCACCACTGCTGACCGTGGCGTTTAGGTCGATGAGGAGAACCGACCGGTGCTGGACTTTGGCCACATTGTCGACGCCCTCAACAAGCTCGACGGTGCGTCAGCCGAGAAGGTCCTCCTCTCGTCCCGGGACGGCCAGTCGGTCTTGGTCGCGTCGTATGCCGAAGTCCACAAGTGTGTCAAGCAGGCGTTTAGCGAGCTCGTGGCCGCGGCCCAGCGCCAGCGCCCGTCGACGACGCCACTCGCCAAGCCCGCAGCGTTTGGCGGCCGCGCCACCAACGGCCGTGGGCGCGGGCGAGGCCGGGGCTAACGACAGTATCATCGTAGTAGTCTCTCCTTCCTCGCTGACGACCAAATAAAAAATGCAATATCTCCTCTTCGTCGTGGCGGCGGAAGGGGCCAGGGGCGGAGGGATAGATAAGAAGGGTGCGGAAGCACGAACGAGATCGACACGTATTGGATTTCGCGGTCATTAGTGGTACACGCAAGACAACCCATCTAGATGACGCTGGCTTCGTTCTTGAGCTTGTCGACGAGCGTGTCGACGTCCGGGACGATGATGCCGGCCTTGCGCGTCGCCGGGTTCTCGACCTTGACGGTCGTGATGCGGGGCGTGACGTCGACGCCAAGGTCCGCGATCGACTTGGTCGCGATCGGCTTCTTCTTGGCCTTCATGATGTTGGGGAGCGTCGCGTAGCGGGGCTGGTTGAGGCGCAAGTCGGCCGTGAGCACGGCGGGGAGCGGGCACTCGAGCGTCTCGACGCCGGCGTCCGTCTCGCGCGTGACCGTGGCCTTCTTGTCGGCGATCGTGAGCTTGCTCGCAAAGGTGGCCTGCGGGTAGTTGAGGAGGCCGGCGAGGAAGCCGCCCGTTTGGCACGCATCCGAGTCAATGCTTTGCTTCCCAAGCACGACGACTTCGGGCTTTTCTTCCTCGACGATCTTGGCGAGGAGCTTGGCGACCGCGAGCGGCTGGAGGTCCTGGTCCAGGCGCATGTCGGTCTCAATGTGGATGCCACGGTCGCAGCCCATGGCCAAGGCCGTGCGGAGCGTCTCCTGCGCCTGCTTGGGGCCGATCGAGACCGCGATGACCTCGGTCGCGAGCTTCTGCTCCTTGAGGCGGATGCTCTCTTCGACGGCGATTTCGCAGAACGGGTTCATGCTCATCTTGACGTTGTTGAGGTCGACGCCGGTGGGCGTCACGCGGACCTTGACGGCGTAGTCGACGACGCGCTTGACAGCAACCAGGACCTAGGCCATCGGCGTCAGGCGAAGCTCGGCGAAGTCAGCAGCTTCCTACCTTCATGGCAAATGCGGATTTTGGCTGTTTCGTATACGGGCCACAAGTGGGTGCTCGGTTAAGTACGCACGTGGCACGTTCGATGGGTTAAAGACTTCCGGGGGTGCGCACTTATAAAGGGCGCACTTGATGGGAGACGTGCGGTGACTGTTGACGCAGCATAGAGCAGACACTGCATGGGCGATGCACGGCGAAAACACTGGATTAATTTATACGCCATGTACACTGCATGGCAAGCACGGGCTTCGAGACGACGCCTCGCAGTGCTGCCTTGGAACGCTCCGGAAGCACACGCTTGAAAGGGCTAAAATGCCCAGAAGGAACCTCTGTGAAGGAGGACGCCACGAAGCTCGTTGATGCAAAGATAGAGGGAGGACCTTGAAGGGATTCCTAACGATATCGATTTGATTTTGAAGCAGCGACTGTCCGGTAGAAGGCCCTGGACGCGGTCGCCCATAGAGCGGTGCCAGGGACTACTGTCGGTAGGTCGTGGATGCTGGCCGAAGGAGTGGTGTCGTCACCACTCGCGGGTCGATCTCATTGGTGGCTCTACTTCAAGCTGCCGTTTGATTGGATCGCTCGAAAAGTGCGCCTTTCATTGGCCGGAGGCTTGACAACCATCCGGTTATATCCGGACGACACGTGCCGCGCCCATTGTCCGGATAGAACCGGATAGACGATATGTTGGCGGCACTGCCATCGGCGTAGGCGACGAGTGGGCACTAACAGTAGCCCCTACCTTGTGTTGTCATAGCCCTGGTTTTAAACCAAGTCTTATCTTTTTCTATAGTCTTATAGAAGCGCGTACTCTTCGACTCTGTACCTCGCACGTGGGTGCGGCGGTTGGATGTGCCACGGCGCCTCGCGGCTATTGCCGAAATTACATGTCGCGCACCACGATGGCGCGCCTGCTGCGGCATTCTTCCTTGGCGCCTTCGGCACATATTTGAAAGATGCCGAAATTACCAAAGATACGCCATCGCGGACGCTCGTGCTTGCGTCGTCGGTCCATTGCCTGCTTCACGCGCGCCAGCCTCCACCAAATGCTCCAGGGACCTCGAACGACTTGTATACGAGCGTGGCGGCCCACCAACAAGCATCTCTACGCTACTAGTATAGGAACACCCACTGGTTCGAAACCATCTCATTGTGGTCACGTGCGAAGCGGCCTCTTTATTGATCGTCCATGACTGGAAGGAGCTGTGGGTGGGTCCCCATCGAACGAGAGAGCAGTGGTCGGTGGGCCGTCTGTTGTCGTTGGCCGGTACAGCACACGGGCAGCGCACACGAGCCTTGAGTATACTACCGGTTTATCGAACGTTGTCGCGCCAACCAACCGCCTCAAAAGGGTGGTCGCTAAGGTGGTCGGCGCGCCGTCTGTTGCCGCTGGGCTTTGACGACCGAGGGCTCGATCCCTGGACGTCTTCCGTTTTGGGCCATCCAAAGCCGTTGGACCAAGGTCGTGTGCAAGCCTTGGCGCGCAAAGACGATATACGTGCGCCGGGGCGGCGGCGCGAGGCGGCCGGGGGCCGACGAGGACCCCTACCCCAGATGTACGGATGCTGGACGGCGTCGAAAAGCCAATCGCAGCGCAGCGCCATCGATCCCATATACCTGATTCGAGTGATGATGTGACCCGCGGTGGAAGGCTTGCGACGACCGCGGGCGCGACATTGTGTACAGCGTGACCAATCAGCGGTAAGACCACGTTGTCATGGACGATATTCGCGCAAATGCGTGGACCGTCACGTCATGCCTCGTCGCCGGCCAGTATCTCGGCCGCATACCGACACTAGACCAACGGGTGACAGGTCCTAAAGTCGACCAGGACATCAAACTACGCAACACAATCAACCATGGCCCATGCAGCCGTACTCGACACACCATACCTGTCTACTCGAGCGTGCTAGGACCGTCCCGTGATCACGCATCATGGGCGGACGCCGCCTCTATACTAGGACAAGGGCACAACACCAGGACGAGACGACCACGCGAGCTTGACACCCAGGAACGAGCAGCACTGTTACTGCGACTACGCTTCGAACCCAGTGCGCCTCGCCTTTTGGTCGCTGCGCATGGGACGTCCAGCGACGCCGGCGGCCTCCTGAGACGCCAGATTCGCAACAGTCGCGTTGCAGACGTGGCTTCAAAGAGGCCAAATGTGCACGGGAAGGGTCGCGACCAAGTGTCTTCGCACTCTGGCGGGTCCTATACTCGAAACAAGAGCAGTGCCTACTGACTGCACAGGCCATCTCGATGGTGGACATTGTTTTTCACACTAAATTCCACGACAAGGCTCGAGCACGTGCCGACGCTATACAATTCCCAAGAGCATCTTGTTTCGTCGTCTGCAATATCGTCTTGTGTCTTGTATTCAAGTAAGACTAATTCCCGGCTTCGACGGTCGTCGGTTCAGCGTCCATTCACGACGTGACCAATCATTGGCAAAGGGCGTCCTAGCGCCGCTGCAATATTCGCGACGCAAAAGGGCTACCAGGTCACAAGGTAGTATGGCAGCACGGTGCTTTTCTGAAGCACCCGTTTCCAAGGCGCATTGGGGCACCTGCTCGATCGGTGGCACGACAGCACAGAAACACGGGTTGCGTGCCCCGGCGAACATATCAGGACCCGTGTTAGGGTTGATGATTGTATTTTTATTTTTATTTCGAGATTGCAGTTTAGAAATGCAGCCGCAGCGCCCACGTCGCGTGTCGTTCGAGTGGATACCGTACGACGCAAGCGACGAGCAAGGCCCGGCGTCCAAGGCGCAAGGAAGCGCGCAGGCGATCGCGGGTATGGCCCGCGACAGCGCGACGGGCGAGCCCACGCCGTGG